AAGGGCAATACCGGGCCCTGTCCTCCCCTGATAGGATTGTCCCTTTGAAGGAGTCCCTTTGCCGTGTGGGCGTCTTCCTGGACTATGAAGCTGGAGATATCTCCTTCTACAACATGAGGGACAGATCGCACATCTACACATGTCCCCGTTCAGCCTTTTCTGTGCCTGTGAGGCCCTTCTTCAGGATAGGGTCTGATGGCAGCCCCATCTTCATCTGTCCAGCACTCACAGGAGCCAGTGGGATCACAGTGCCTGAAGAGGGCCTGATTCTTCACAGAGTGGGGACCAATCAGAGCCTGTAGAATCAATTCCCTGGTCTCACAGCCATGTAGACAAGCCCTCGTCATCTTAGCAACCACTGCACAATGTTGTTGGTGGAAGACACGCCCTTCTCCCCTCTGGTCACGTAAGAGAACAGCTTCCAGGTGCCTCTTTCACACCCACTCCAGCCCTCAGCCCCAGTTTTCTCCTCCTCACTAGGCTGTGGCTTTAGTAGTTGCTTTCGTTGTAACTATGGGATGGGATCCACGCATAGGGAACTAGTTGTGTCATAGCTCCCAGCCAAGAAGAAAGTGTGAGAAGTTGATGGGCAACGAACCTGCTGTTTAACATCAGGGTGACCACATTGAGTCCAGTATGCCAGTTGGCACCAGATGATATGGACATGGAATGAGGTCAACAGGGTTCATCAGGATGAGAGAGGAGAGAGGAATCCACAGGACCACCAGAGAGGAGAGGGAACCAGATCTGCAGGTCAGAGATAGAGGAAGTGGAACCAGACAGCTGGGAGGGACCAAGCTTGTAAGGGTGGATAAGCCCCAACATAACAGCTAAGGGGACCTGGGAGATGATGGCTCATTTCCACCCAACCCCAGGATTTGCACAACACACACCCACAGGCCTGGACCTGGGATGAAGATGAATGAAGAACATGGACTCATGTGGATGTGGTTTGGCTTACGTGTCCCTGCAATAAACAATGAGTCAGTACTTAGTCCCTGAGTGTGGTTGAGGTTTGAGGTCCTGGTCGAGCAGGGCAGTACTTCAACTGGTCTACGTCAGCATTCAGGTTCAATGGGGACACCAGTGGCTTCAAACTTCCTGATCTAATTATGTCTTTAGACACTTAATAACTATTGAGGATCTTAAAGAACTTTTGTTTATTTGGGTTAATATTTGTTAATAGTTATGGCATTTGACATTGAAACAAAATTTGAAATGTTATCTTTTAATTCATGTTAAAATAGCATGAATAAATCAATTATAGTTTAATATAAACAGGATGTTTTGTGAAAAAGCAATCTATTGTGTCCAAATAAAAGAACTAGGAGTTCTTTTATTCCTGGTTAACTTTTTCCAAATCTAATGTCTGGCTTAATAGAAGATGTTTGTGTTCTCATATCTGCCTTTGTATTAAACCTATTGGTTTATCATAGGTCATATTGGCTCAAAAAAAAACTTTACTGCACCCTACTGAGAGAATGAGATGAAAAATGGTTAATGTTTCATTATTATTATTGTGAAAATAGTGTTAACACTGGGGACTCCTTAAGAGTATATCAGAGTTTGCGCTAGGAATCCCAAGAGCGCATTTGGAAACTAGAATAGTGGATCCTGGAAGTTAATCCATGTGCTGGTTAATTTTAGATATCAACTTGACTGGATTATGGAATACCTAGACAACTGGTACAACATTATTTCCAGGTGTGTCTGTGAGTGTGTTTCCAGAAGAGACTGGCATGTGAGTCAGTGGGAAATTCTCCCGTCCAATTGGCTGGGGGCCCAATAGAACCAAAAGGCAGAGGAAAGGCAAATTCTTCTCTCCTCTGGAGCTGAGACATTCTTCTTCTTCTGCCCTTGGACATCAGAACTCCTGGCTCTCCAGCCTTTGAACTTCAGGACTTGTACCAGGAGGCCCTGGGTTCTCAGGCCTTTGGCTTTGGACTGAGAGTTACACAACCAGCTTCCCTGGTTCTGAGGCTTTCGGACTTCAAATGAGCCGTGCTACCAGCATCCCAGGGTCTCCAGCCTACAGACGGGCTGTTGTGTGATTTCTTAGCCTCTATATTCACATGAGCCAATTTCCTTAATAAATGTCTGCTCATAAATCTGCTCATAAAGCCGAGTTCCTGCCACTGCACTCCAACCTGGGTGACAGAGTGCAACTCCGTTTCAAAAAAAAAAAAAAAAGTGTATTGTGTCTGGTTTTCTTTCCATTCATATGTTTATGTGACTCTGCAGTAATATCTCCTCCTCCTGCATGTACCCATATTCATGCAAGCAAATGTAGCAAACGGCCACAATAGCATTTTAATTAGTGGACATCTTTCTCTCTTCACCACATTAAAATCTTTTCTCATTTTGTTCTGCTGATATTTCCATTATGATAAAAGATTTAAGACAAGTAAATATATAGAAATACTCATATACACACAAGGATGAAAGAAATAAACACAAACACTAAGGGAGGTAAGGCAGGAATTTTTCTTCAACGTGTACAATTCAATGTACTTTCAGCCTTCCTCAGGGGTTTCTGGCCAGCAACTGATGAGAAACACCACCTCCGAGCCAATCAAAAAACTAATTCTTCCAAAGAGAGATTGTTATTATTCCTCACGATGACCAGACAGCCTCTGCTTTCTTTTTCCTTTCTTCCAAATGGAGACTCAACCATAATAGAAAGAATGGAGAACTATTAACCACCTTTCTTCCGTGGGCTGTGATTTTCAGATGGGAATGCTAAGAGGTAAGTGGGAGAAGTTGATGAGAGCCTGGGCTACAATGTCTGGGAGGACAGGGGCTGAATCGCTGAGAGTGGTGAGTGGGCATGCAGGGAGAGTACTTGTGCAGAGAAAGGTGTCAGGTGTCTGAGGGGTGTGCCTGAGGGGGTGTGCACACACACTTGTGGACACACGGAAAGTGGAGAAGTAGTACAAAGAATAAAGACCTGCAGAGTTTGGGATTTGGTCAAGAAATATTCTACTTGCATGTTCTTAAGAATGTATTGTGGTCAGAAAAGGGCAAAAAATCTTTAAAATCTCTTCTGGCCAACTCAAGGCATCTATTCTAAGAATTTCTAAAAAGAGATGTCCCTTATAGATTCATATGTAAATCTGTTCATTTCAGAAATATTAAAAATATAGAAATGTCTGAACCAGTATACATATGCAACAGGCGAGGGATAGACAAACAATGCATGTTTCAGTCATAAAAGAGATTTCCATGCAGCCTTTAGGAATCGTGTTTTTCATGAAGGGCAATTATTTATAATTTTAACAACATTAGATCCATACATTACACCTTGTTTTGTGTCTTTTAGGAAGAGTATGTGTTTTTCCTTTTATTCATCATTTCCCCAAAACCTAACGAATATTATCCAATGGATACAATCTATTTCGTTGTATGAATATACAGGTTTTTTTTGTTTTTTGTTTTTTGTTTTTTTTGAGATGGAGTCTTGCTCTGTCACCCAGGCTGGAGTGCAGTGGTGCATTCTCAGCTCACTGCAGCCTCCGCTTCCCAGGTTCCAGCGATTCTCCTGTCTCAGCCTCCTGGGTAGCTGGGATTACAGGTGCATGCCACCACGCCCAGCTAATTTTTGTATTTTAATAGAGACGGGTTTTGCCAAGTTGGCCAGGCTGGTCTTGAACTCCTGACCTCAGGTGATCCACCTGCCTCAGTCTCCCAAAGTGCTGGGATTACAGGCATGAGCCACCATGCCAGGCCTATACAATTATTATTATTATTATTATTATTATTATTATTATTTACATTTAACCTAATTTTATTCATGCTGGCCTTGGGATGGGGAATAGATCATTCAGTAAAAACATACAGTAAAAACAAAGTGTCTTATCATGTACAACTTTTAAACTATATTAATGATGTACCTAAATTACTTCCATGCACACAAGTCTAACATTCGTTTAAAAAAAAAAAAAAAAACACACTCACACAAGACTTCTGGGAGCATTTCATAATAAAGTAATTCCTAACTAATTTTTCTTTGTAGATAGATCAAGCACCTCCAAAATACGAATTCCTGTACACAGTGAGCACATTACTTTAAATGAACACTTACATGAATTAAGTATATGGACAGCCTTAGGATAAGCTGACGTTATAGATTCAGCTAGGTAGGCAACACACCATAGTGCCAAATGGAAAAAGTGTATTTGCAAATAAATTTTTAAAACTATGTTAAGTTTTAAAATTAAATGCAGAAAATATACTGATTTGCTAAAATAAATAAGATGTGATGTATTAACACTTCACTATAAAGAATGCATACCAGAACATTTATAAACAGTGAATGAGTCTTATTAGGAATATTTCCTACAACAAACGCTGGTTAAATAGAAATGCATATTTTGAAGCACTGTGGGTGGTATATGTTTTGCCACATACTTTTGTTACCTTGAGGTAGATAACGCATGTGTACTAAAATTGGCGTTCATTTTCAGTTGCTGCTGGTATCATGTTTTAAGAAATGTGTACAGTGTGAAAAATTTGAAAATACTCATGAATGAAAAATGTCTTTAAAAAATAGCTATTTTCATGCAGTTATGTACAGTCTCACTGTGTAAATTTCAAGGCAAGATTTGTTTCCTGTAAAACAGATCATTGTTCTATGAGAGAATGTTCTTTACTTTGTGCATTTCTTTTCTCCCCTTGCGTTACATTATTTTGCTCTAGTCTTTGTTTCTGTGTGCATATAACATGCCAGTTAAAATGAAAACTATCTCACATGTAGAAAAGGAAAGTCTGGAATTTAAAAACCAAGAACTCATAAAATCCTTATTAAATGACACCATCTGATTCAAGTAAAAAATGACTTAAACACTAGTAAAAAAAAAAAAAAAAAAGACAAAACACATTTCATGAAGAATACAAAGATAAATGTCTGCTGAGTGTTTTAGTTCAGATGTTTCAGAATGCTGCTGCATGTTTTATGAGGAATTTGAGGGGAAGATTCCATAGCAGAAGGTGTTAATGTGGGCTGTATTGACTTAAGTGGTGGCCCAACTGGACTGTGAAACCACGGGATGCCTATGGACTCCAGCTGCTTGTTACAGAGGAACTCCCCACTGTTGTTCAGAAATCTTTCCTCATTTCCTCTCTCCCCAAGCTTCCCATCCTCTACTGGCTCAGTTTCTAGCATTTCAGTATCTTCTTTCCTGCTAAAGAACTTGTCCAACTAACTAGTAACTATTTTTGGTGTGCATTAGCATAACTTTTATTGGGGGCTATATAGCACTATCTACCCAAATTACATCTTTAGTGATCCAGAATTCCACTTCTGGGGATTTATTTGGTAGATAAGCTTGCATTTGTGTGAGATGATCCAGGTAAAAAGTTATTTTTTATAGCACTGATTATGACTGCATAAGGTTAGAAACTATGCAGATGTTCACTGCTGGGGAACTTTCATGCAATGGATACCACTCAAGTGTGAAAGAAAAAAGAGAAAATTATCTCTATACTGATACGGAAGGATCTCCAAGATTACCTTTGCACAGAAAGAGCAAAATGCGGAGTGGTGTGTATAGAATGCTATCTTCAGTGCAAATAAGAGGAAAAACAAGAATATATTTTTATTTACACTTTTTATGTTAACAAGCAATGTCATAACACTCACTAGGTGTCAGGCACTTTATTAATTTAATCCTTGTAACTTCAGGAGGTAGGTATTAACATTACCCCAATTTCAAAGAGAAGGGCAGTAGGAACAGAGTGGTTAAATAATTAGTCCAGAGTCACACTGCTAGTCACCTAAAGGAGCCAGCATTGACACCCTAAGCATCATATTAAGCATACTAATTTGAAGCTAAGAAAGGGAGGGTGGGAGGAAGGACTGGGTGGATGGGAGACTTGCATGACTTTTTATATATATATTTTTGAACCATGTACATGTGTTACCTATCAAAAAGTTGAAATAGAAGAAACTGTGTCTCATCTGCTCAAGTCACTCACTTTCCACATGAGAGGCAGACATCTCAAGACAAGTAATAGTAGCAGCCTCTAGTGGGGGTTTATCAAAGTCTTACCCACAGTCCTCTGAGATTTTAGAATGAGAAAGATTATTCAACCCCGTGAGATAGATTCTGTGGCCTGTGACCTGAGGTGAGCAGCCAACACTTGGGGTGCTGCAGTCTGGGGAGGCTGAGTGCACTGGCCCCCATGGCCCATAGCCCTTCCCTTCACAGGCCTGTTCTTCAGGAGCGCCCAGAGCTGGATCGCTGCCCTGGCAGGGACCCTGCCTATCTTGCTGCTGCTTCTCGGGGCAGCCCGTTACTTCCTGTGGCAACAGCAGGAGGAAAAAAGACTCTGTTCAGAAAGAAAAAGAGCGCAAGAGTTGAGAGAAATGGCATGGAGCGCAATAAAGCAAGAACGAATCACAAGAGGTAGCTGACCCTGGGAGTTTATCTGAACCTCCAGCTTATAGGCCAAAGCCCAAAGGCCTCACACCTATCCCCACACCATAGCTGGGTTGTTTTTAAGGTTTATTTTTTAGAGAACTCCCTCACCTGTAACAGTTCATTATTTTATCTGCTTATTTTCCCTGCTTATTTTCCAGTGAAGCTCCTGGAGGAAATCAGTAAGTTCCCGTTCCCCCAGAGACCCAGGCATGTCTTTCTGTCCCTGCTTTAAGAGCCTTGATGCATCTTCCCTGTTCCTTCCATTGCAGGGTGGAGAATTATCCAGTACGTGTCTCGTTAAGTCACTCTGACATTTTCTCTGAATCTGAATCTATAACTGTCTGTGCTTGAATAGTTTCCACACTTAACTTTTTCCCCAAGGTTAGGAAGTGGTCTTAGATCAGTTTGACTAAGGAAAGAAAATAAATGTGCCAATTCCTAGTCATTGCCAAAAAAAAAAAAAAAAAAAGAAAGAAAAGAAAAAAGACAAAGAGTGTGACTCATTGGAGTAACACCCAGGAGGAGTGTTTCTTTCTCCCTTTCTTTCTCTCTCTCTTGCCGAGTCTCAAAGAAAAAATGCCTTCAATTTCTCTCCACTAGGGGCCACAAAACTCCATAGCCCTGCAAAACACTGAAGAATATCCAGGGGCGCACTTGTAAAGGAAGGGGGAAGAGGTGGATGAAGTTCATTCTCTATGGTAGGAACTTCACTCTTCATTTTACATAATCTATAGGCTCCAGAGAAGAAAAAGAATAAAAGATAATAAAGAACAAAAAAATAAGAAAAGAGAGTGTGTCTGATAAACAAGAGTGGTTTGAACAGTTGTTCAGTTGGTACCAATTTATTCTAACTGGCTTCAAAAACTAGTCCCTGAAATTGCTCATTGAATTTCCCAAATTCTTTTCAGGGTAAGGTAGGAAATTACAGATTGAAGTAGAAGGATCTTGCGCGCACGCACACACACACACACACATATGTATATATGCATATAGACATGGTGGCACCTATGCCCAGGTACAAGAGTTTAGATACATTCCTAACGAATCAGCTGAACACCATCAGGAAGGAACTCTCAAAGTGATTGCCATGTCACTAACATTCGACTGATGTTCCTGGATTTGATATTAAGAAGGACACAGTAGAGAGAATTGAACCTGCAGAGGAAGAAGATACAGGTGGTCAAAAAAAAAAAAAAAAAGAGTAGATGGATGTAAAAGTAAGGGAATGGGGTAAACTCAAACGTGGCAAGTTAAGGTGACATCTCTACTTTCTCTTATTGTAGGGGAGAGAGACCTTGGGCCTATAATGGTGAGTGAACCTGATGCTCTCTGAGTTTGCTGGGATACGTGCCATGAACACTTCAACCTTTTTCTGCTGTGACCCATTGATATTCTCAGTTGCATGAATCAGATTTAACCAAAATACTCAATTTCTGTGTGGTGGGGGGTTGATTTCTGCTTTTTAGAGAATCTGAGAGACTCCTGACCCTACACACCCCCTTGCAAAGCCTGGCCATGCAGGCTGTACCCTTCATGACAGAGGGAACAGAGCCCACCATTTTTGAGAAGATGCCACCCCTGATCCATCAGAGTTGTAGAGGAGGGAAGTTGGACCCTGGAAGAGACTCTGAAGAAAAGGAGAGAAAACAGGTAGTGAGGGGAGAATGCAGTGGGGAAAAGTACAAGAATACTGACCTTTTCCTTATCTGTGTCTTCTTTCTTTCAGAATAGAAAAAGGCTCTCTTCAAGCCAGGTGAGTAAATCACTGTATGTTCCCTGGACCAACAACCTGAGGGACTATATTCCTTTTTCCTTTTTTCTTCCTCAACTCCTGTGATTTGGGGAAGAAATGTCCCCATAACCAGGACAGTTTGGGGCAAGCAACATTAAATCCCAATCTGAAAGGTGGGGCCCATCTCCTAGACCCTTCCGGCTGACAGCTCAGGGAACCAGGGCGTATCACTCTCTTGCACTTCCTCAGACCTTCCTGGGAAGGAAGACACATAAAGGGTGGAGCTGAGGGGAAGGAGACACACACTGAGTGATACTGCAGGGAGAGTGAGGATGGAAATGCCAAACAGAGGAGGGGATGCCTGCCCAAAGAACTTTGCCCTTCCCAGGCTTCCCATGTTACCTCCTGTCTGTGTCCCCACACAAATGCTTCTGAACTTTGGCCTCCACATTTTTCGATGATGACTGCAATCTATGTTTTGTGGGAGTTGAGGTGAAGACTGAAGGAATAATAAATATGGATTGGTCAAAAACCTAGTAAGAAAGAGACGACGAGTTCAAACTGTGTGATTGAAGAGGGTTTGTGGAAAGGAGGGTTAAGGGAAAGCAACAAGGAAAAGTGCAGTGTCCCATGGTTCCCAACATTGGGGAGCTGTCTCCACCCCTAGCCTGGGAGGAATAGGGAGGGGAGGCAGTCACTGGAACCCAGAGTAAGAAGTAGCTCAAAGAGAGGGCTTCCTGAGAGAGTCACCAGGCCTTGTTAGAGCCACACCAGCTGCTGCTGGCAGGGAGGAAGTAGGAAACTAAATGGTGTGTCTCTCCTTTCTTTCTCCTTCCAATCTCCCATCAGGGCCTCCCACTGGCCAAACCCAACAGCAAACCAGAGGACAAGGAAGCCCAGTGGCACTGTCCTTAGAGGACAGATTTCTGGGGCCCAGAAAAGGGTGGAGAAAGCTGAAGGGCAGAGAGTGAATCTATTGCATATAAGGTCCCACATATAGCCCAGCACAGAGACGGCCTTGCAGCTATCGGGAACATCAGGAGCTTCCTTCATGCCCTGCTATGGGCTGAGTAAATAACATGATTGCTTTATACAGCACTAGAGATTTGTATGTTTATCCCCATTTTTCAGATGAAGAAATGCTTCAGATGAGGCTCCACTTTGTTAAATAAATTAGATGTATGGAAAAATAGACTGCAGTAAAGGGGAACTCATTTAGCTCATGAGTGGTCGAATGAAGGTTGAAAATTAACCTCTGATTGTAAAGCATTAGTGGGCAGAGTCAATGTGGGGAGGGAAACAAGAAAAACGTAGAAAGAGGATGCTTGCTGCTTCCTGAGGCAGCATCAGTGTGTTGGGTTAGCCAGATCCTAATGCAACCCTCACTTCACCCTCCTCTTCCCCTCTGGACACAAGATCCCTGGCGTTTTCTCTTCTGACATCGATGAGAGAGTCACATTCAGGGCAGGTTAGGGACTCCAGGCTCTGGACTTAGGCCTCCTCAGCATGGCCCAGGCCTTGCATGCTGAGGCTCTGAAATCCAGGAAAAATGGTTGACCCCATGGACACTTCCTCAAAATCTCTGCAGTGGATGTGATTCTGGATGCAAAAACACTAAACCCATCCTCCTTGTTTCTGAGGACCAGAGGAGTGTGCAGCGTGCCAAGGAGCCCCAGGATCTACTGGACAACCCTGAGAGATTTGATTGGCATTATTGTGTTCTCGGCTGTGAGAGCTTCATGTCAGGGAGACCTTACTGGGAAGTGGAGGTAGGGGACAGGAAAGAGTGGCATATAGGGGTGTGTAGTAAGAATGTGCAGAGAAAAGGTTGGGTCAAAATGACACCTGAGAACGGATTCTGGACTATGGGGCTGACTGATGGGAATAAGTGTCAGACTCTAACTGAACCCAGAAACAACCTGAAACTTCATAAGCCCCCTAGGAAAGTGGGGGTCTTCCTGAACTATGAGACTGGAGATATCTCTTTCTACAATGCTGTGAATGGATCGCATATTCATACTTTCCTGGACAACTACTTCTCTGAGCCTCTATATCCTGTTTTCAGAATTTTGACCTTGGAGCCCACTGGTCTAACAATTTACCCAGTGCCAGAAGTAGAGAGTTCCTCAATTCTGACCTAGTGCCTGATCATTCCCTGGAGTCACCAGTGACCCCGGGCTTAGCTAACGAATCTGGGGAGCCTCAGGCTGAAGTAACTTGTCTCTGCTTCTCCCTGCCCAGCTCAGAGCTGAGGGCCTCTCCCTCCACAGCAACCAATCACAACCATAAAGCTACAGGCACGCACTGAAGCACTTTACTGATACTCATTCAATTATTCATATGCCAGTTGTTTGAGTTTGGTACCACCTTATTGTCCCCTTATACAGATAAGGAAACTGGAGTGCTGAAAAGTGAATTAACGTTACAAAGTAAAATTGACTAGTTAACAATAGAGCTGGGATCTAAACAGCAATAACTAACATTAATGGAGAACTTAAAATGTTCTGAGTGCTGTGTTATGAGCTTTGGTGGATGTCACTCCTTTAATCCTCACAACACCCTGTCGGGTAGTCTCATTTTCCAAGTGTGGAAGCTGAGGCAGGGCAACATTAAGTAACTTACATAACTCATACGGTAATTTGTGCAGTTGGGAGATGGTCAGCTTCAGTCCCTGGTCATTTGCCCATTCTTTTCCACCCTGATTCTTCCCCGATAGGAAGAACCCACCTGTAGCCCTGAGGTTCTTTTCCCAGGACGGCTCCAGGGTAAGGATCATTGTGGGTGGTTGTGGAGTTGACACCCCTGTTGACTCCTTCCCAACTGATTGTCAGAGCCCTACACCCAGCACTCCTTGGATTAGCTCTGCAGAGTGTCTTGGTTGAGAGAATAACCTCACCGTACCCACATGACACATGATTTGAAAAGACACTAGAGGCCACACTTGATAAATCATGGGGAACAGAGGTGTGCCCACCCAACAAATGTGATAAGTGGTCACGCAGCCAGAGCCAGCCTTCCTACAGTCAAGGTTTCCAGGCAGAGGAAATACCCTGAAGATTCTCTGTGATATAGGAAATTTGGATGAAGGGTGCTAGAAGAACTATAGGGATTTTGTGTGTGTGTCTTTTTTTTTTTTTTTTTTTAGATAGAGTCATGCTCTGTTGCCAGGCTGGAGTGCAGTGGTGTGATCTCCGCTCGCTGCTACCTCCGCCCCCCGGGTTCAAGCACTTCTCCTGCTTTCAGCCTCCTGAGTGATTGGGACTACAGGTGCACGCCACCATGACTGGCTAATTTTTGTACTTTTAGTAGGGATGAGGGTTCACTATTTTTGCCAGGATGGTCTCCATCTCTTGACTTTGTGATCCACCTGCCTTGGCCTCCCAAAGTGCTGGGATTACAGGTGTGAGCCACTGGGTGCCCGGCTTACAGGGATATTTTTAATCCCATTATGGACTCTTTCTCCAGGAAAGGGGTCTGTCCACCCCTGCTCATTGGTAGATGTTAAACCAATATTCCTTTCAACTGCTGCCTGCTAGGGAAAACTGCTGCTTATTATCATCACGATTATTGCTCACCACGGTATCCCCTCTACTTAGCATGTGCTTATCAAGTTCTAGTTGTTCAGTTAATTTGTTAATAATGCTTACTCTTCAACTTGGCTTTTTCTAGACTGTGGTGTCTGCTCAGGACAGTAGAGTAGTCCACACACCCGCTGTACTCCCCACAGTTTCAGTTTACTTCACTGCAGTGTTTTCATAAAACCTTTATTGTATGTGTTTTCTACAGCTGCTATGATGAATTACCACAAATTCAGAGACTTAAAGCAACACAAATTTTTGGTTCACAGTTCTATAGGTCAGAAGTTCAACAGGGATCTCACCAGGCTAAGATCAATGTGTCTGCATGCTGGATTCTTTTCTGGAGGCTGTAGAGAACAATATGTTTTCTTGTTTATTCAGATTGTTGGCAGAATTCAATTCCTTGCAATTACAAGATGGAGGTCCCAGTTGCTTACTGGTTTACAGCTGAAGACTGTTCTCGTCTCTAGAGGCTGCTATTTTTCAGCTCGCAGCTCCCTTCTTCAATCTTCAAAGCAGCAACTGTGCATTGAGGACCTGTCTATCTTTGAAGTTTGTCTGGTTCTTTTTCCATTGCATCTCTCTGATTCTTCTGCCTTCTACTTTTGAGAACTCCTGTGATTTGATTAAGTCCACCCAGATAATTTAGAATAATCACTAAATGTAAAGGTCAATAACATTAGTTCTATAAGGTCCATTTTGCCATGTTATATATCATTGTCATATGTTTCACAATAAATATCACTAGGTGTGTATGGAGGGAGGAGAACTATTGAAGCTACCACTTATTTGGGAAATCATCCCAGGAAACACAAGTGCAGAAAGAGAGAATCAGAGAAGGAGATAAGCCAATTGTGTGAGAAATGGCTTAAAGAGTTCATTAGGTTTTCAGTCACCATATGGACAACTCAGCTTATCGCACCCAGGACACTAATAAATTATGTGAAATTGTGGAATATATGTCAGAATCTTCCTAAGGGCTGGGGACCCTGGCACATTTATCAACATCTCACATCCTCCTTTGCTTAAACTGGTTGAAAGCTGCCCCTGGGAATGTTAGTTCTGCTATACTTCAAGGTTGGGTTGTGTATCTGCAAGAAAAAGCAAATACGACTGGTGTTAGAGAAAGCAGAGGAGGAGAGACACAAATAACTGAGGTAAGATGTTGTAACCCTTGAAGGAAGCTGTGTTCATCCACTATTGGCAAATTGTAATAGGTCAAGAGAATATGGGACGGGGCATCAACAGCATCTGTTCTAAGGGCTCCGCCTCTGAGAATATAGTGAATGCCTTTCAAGGTCCCTCTGCCCTCCTTGCACCACATTCATTTAGCATTAGTGACCTCCTGTCTTCCAATACATGTCCGTATAGCATGGCCCTGCAGCCTCACCACATGGACTGGGTCTGGGATGGACACCCGACCCAGGCTAGGCCAGGGAACCTTCAAGTGACATGTGACTAGCTGTACCTGTAGCAGGAGTGCATGGGAGTTGTGGGAAGAACTCTTCCACTCACATTATGGTCCAAAAGAGGAAAAGAAGGTGAACTGTGGAAACAGAAGACCAAAGCACATGTGCAGAGAGGAAGCTTCAAGATGGAAGGACTTTGGGCAATTTTCTCATCTTTTTTTCCCTTAGGGTCCCAGTATCATTCTAGTATGTTCTGGGAAATTTGTTCTCTTCAGATAAGGTATATGTATTGGCTAATATTGTTTTAATCTGGAAAATTAGCAACTTACACAATCATGGTACTATCCTCATTGATTTAGTAATGCAAGAATCTGGAATTTGAAAGGGGCACAGTAGGAATGGTTTTTCTCTTCACCAAAAAGTCTGGGACTCCCCTGGAAGGTTCCATAGCTAGAGGTGACTCAAAGGAAGAGACTTGCCCAAATTGCCATCAAAAATTGAAATTCATTTGCAAATCAAGAAGGGATCAGTGTTCAGTCTGGGTCCTGGTTCTACCACGACTGCCATGTACACCAGATCCACAGAGAACCTTGCTGAAGCAACACTTCCTTTGTGCTTATCCCTCCCATGACAGGGAATGATTGTGTTAGGTTGTCACTATCTAATGTGACCCACTTTAGTACAACCTGGTGTATTAGTCTGTTTTCACGCTGCTATGAATGACTGCCTGAGACTGAGTAATTTATAAGGAAAAGAGATTTAATTGACTCACAGTTCTTCCTGGCTGGGGAGGCCTTAGGAAACTTACAATAATGGTGAAAGGGGAAGCAAACATGTCCTTCTTCACATGATGGCAGGAAGGGTGAGTGCTGAGCAAAAGAGGGAAAAGCCCCTTATAATATCATCAGATATTGTGAGAACTCACTATCAAAAGAAGAACAAGGAGGTAACCACCCCCAAGATTCCCACCTCATGACACCTCTCACTGGGTCCCTCCCATGACATGTGGGAATTATGGGAACTACAATTCAAGATGAGATTTGGGTGGGGATACAGCCAAACCATATCATTCTGCCTCAGTCTCTCCCATGTCTTATATCCTCACATTTCAAGACACAATCATGCCTTTCCAATAGTCCCCCAAAATCTTAATTCATTCTAGCATTAACCCAAAGTCTAAGTCCAAAGTCTCATCTGAGGCAAGGTAAGTCCCTTTCCCATATGAACCTGAAAATTCAAAAGCAAGTTAGTAACTTCCTAGATACAATGGGAGTACAGGCATTGGATAAATACACCCATTCCAAATGGGAGAAACTGGCCAAAACAAAAGGGCTACAGGCTCTATACAAGTTCAAAATCCAATAGGACAGTCATTAAACTTTAAAGGACCAAGATAATCTCTTTTGACCCAATGTCTCACATCCAGGTCACACCGATGCAAGAAGTAGGCTCCCATGGCCTTGGGCAACTCCACCCCTGTGGCTTTGCAGGATATAGCCCCCTTCCTGGCTGCTTTCACAGGCTGGCATTGAGTGCTGCTTTTCCAGGTGCAAAGTACAAGCTGTCAGTGGATCCCCATCCTGGAGTCTGGAGGATGATGGCCCTCTTCTCATATCTCCACTAGGCAGTGCCCCAGTGAGGCCTCTGTGTAGGGGCTCCACCCCCACATTTCTGTTCCAAACTGCCCTCACAGAGGTTCTCCATGAGGATTCTGCCCCTGCAGCAAAATTCTGCCAAGACAGTCAGGAGTTTCCATACATCCTCTGTAATCTAAGCAGAGGTGCTCAAACCTCAATTCTTCACTTCTGTGCACCTGTAGCCCCAACACTACGTGAAAGTCACCAAGAATTGCATTCTCAGAAGCAATAGTCTGAGCTGTATGTTGGCCTCTCTTAGCCACAGCCAAAGCTGAATCCGCTGGAAGGCAGGGCACAAAATCCCTAGGCTGCATACAGCCTAGGGGGGCCCTGGGCCCAGCCTAGGAAACCATTTTTTTCTCCCAGGCCTCTGGATCTGTGATGGAAGGGTCTAGCAGGAAAACCTCTGACATTCTCTGGGGGCATTTTCCCTATAGTCTTGGTGATTAATATTTGGTTCCTTATTATTTATGCAGCCAGCTTGCCTTTCTCCTCAGAAAATGGATTTTTCTTTGTTATCTAATCATCCGGCCGCAAATTTTTCAAACTTTTATGCTCTGCTTCCTCCACCACTGTGAAGCCATTGTTAGTGTATTACTTGCAAAGTTTTGAACTGAAATGAAAGGGAATTAGAGGCTTCCAGGCTAAGCATTTAGATATTTGAGAGGATATTAACAATATTTGCCACTTAAAAATTCCTTCCGTCAGATACTTTAAATCATCACTCTGAAGTTCAAAGTTTCACAGGTCTCTAGGGCAGGGACAAAATGTCGCCAGTCTTTTTGCATAGCAAGGGTGACCTTTACTCCAGTTCCCAACAAGTTCTCATCTCTATCTGAGACTATCTCAGCCTAGACTTCATTGTCCATACCACTATCAGCATGTTGGTTAAAGCCGTTCAACAAGTCTCCAGGAAGGTCCAAACTTTCTCACATTTTCCTATCTTCCTCTGAGCCCTCCAAACTGTTCCAACCTCTGCCTGTTGCCTGTTTCCAAGGTTGCTTCCACATTTTCAGGTATCCTTATAGCAGCACCCCACTCTACTGGTACCAATATACCGTATTAGTCCATTCTCATGCTATTATGAAGGACTGGGTAATTTGTAAAGGAAAGAGGTGTAATTGACTCACAGTACCATGGCTGGCGAGGCCTCAGGAAACTTATAATCATGGCAGAAGTGGAAGCAAACACGTCCTTCTTCGCGTGATGGCAGGAAGAAGTGCTGAGCAAAAGGGGGGAAAGTCCCTTATAAAACCATTGGATGTCTTAAGATCTCACTATTATGAGAATAGCATGGAGGTAACTGCCCCCATGATTCAATTACATCCCACCAGGTCCCTCCTACAACACGTGGGGATTATCGGAACTACAATTCAAGATGAGATTTGGCTGGTGACACAGCCAAACCATATCAGCTGGTTTCTTGCTAAGCTACCTGATGAGCAATCAACCCTCTTCTTGCCTAGAACACACATGTTTCCCTTTGGCTCAGATCAACTTAGGCAGAGGGTGAAACCTGGCTCTGCTGGATACTTTTGGCACAAGCTGTGTCAGAAGACCTGGACATTATTTCTTCAGATAAAAAATCTGAAGC